GACCTTCTTGACTTCACATCTCCTACACAGATGCCCTCATTGTCTTGGCAGCTCCTGACTATTATATCCCTGTACAACACAAACAAGATAGTGGACAGGACGCAGCCTTGGCGGAGACCAGTGCCAACGTTGATGGGCTTCGCCTTAACGCCATTTGCTCTGACACAGTACATGCTATCAACATATACAGATTGCATGGCCCGCAACAATTGGTCATCACAACTGGCGAATTCTCACGATTTCTCAACAATCTGGCGTATTACGAATATCTGGTCAGATGTGCTTTGGCCAGACCTGAAGTCACACTGCTCTTCTTGTGTTTTTGGTAGCCAGTTATTCTGAGGCATTTCCTTTCTAGCAGCTTTGAACAGACATTGCCAGACCAATAACGAATGTCCCGATAACTGGAGCAACCTATGGTGTCTCTTTTCTTGAACAGGGGTAATGCAGCTCCCGTTCTCCAGTGCTCTTGTGTCTTCCAGCATCCTTTCCAATTTGTAAGCTTTTCACGGCTTGCGTGATTTCATCTCCAGAAATAGTAATATTCGTTCCCTGCTGCTCCACAAGGTTAAGAGGTTCCTCCATGTACTCTCTCCATCGCCGAAGAATGTCCTTATCCTCGGTGAGAGAGTGTTTAGTCTTGTCCTTCAAGACTCTTACGCTGCCCTTCTTTTCACCTCGGAGTAGTTGGATGGTCTTCCAGAATACTTTGTTTGCCATGTGAAAATTCGACTCCAACATCGCACCAAACTTCTTCAAGGAATCAGCTTTGGCTTTCGTCACTGCTTTCGCTGCCGCCTTGCGCGTTTTACATATTTGTGAGAGTTGAGGGCATTTTGCTTCGAAGGTATTTCTTCAACGCAGCCTTCTTCTCTTTAAATGCCAGTTGTACCTCTCTTGTCCAAAAGGAGGTTCTTTCCTGATCTCCAGGCTGCAGGCGAACGGGTTTTAAACCAAAACATTCCATGACATCCTCGAGTATGTTGCTTCTAAAGAGCTCCCACCAGGTTTTCACATCAGTGGTCATCACCGGGATCTGTTCAAACCGTCCTGCAATGTTGTTTGCAAATGTCGCTCTCTTATCCGCAGAAGATAATGTTTTCCATTTGATTCTCTGGTTGCTTCTGCTACCAGATTGTCGCCTCGTATTCCGCATAGCGTGCCAGCAATCAAATTGGTAACTGGTTGATGGTTCTGCGTCTCTCTTAACGCTGGCATCCATTAAACTGCGTCGCAAGTCACAAGATCCGATTATAAAATCGATCATCGACTTCTATGCACAAGCTTTCCTGCAAGTATACTGATGCACGCTTTGATGCTCGAAGATTATGTTCATAATGGATCCCCTTCGTTCAGGCGGTTCCTTCCAATAATGTCTTTTGACTTTTCAGTGTGTGCTTCGATATGCGCATCAAAATCACCGCTAGAATGACGGACTCAGTAGTCGACACTTCGTACAGAGTACTCCTATTCACTTCCTACTTCAAGGAAGGATTTCCATTCTCCCTCCAAATTGAGCACATAGACCTGTAACAGTGTCAGAGCTTTAGCCTGTCGTTGCTTCAATCGGAATATTGCCACTCTTCCACTGGCAGGCTTTCATTCAATGATTCTATCATCCTGTTTTGTTTTGCCAAAGAACCAACACTAGTCTGAGCGTGCGTCGTGATGTCTACACCTGCGCAGCTTAGTTTCCACTTACAGAGATTCAAAATTCCAGAGCTTTGGCGATCGTTGACCAGAGTCCAACTCTTGTTGAGCTGGTACCTAGTTTTATCAGCTAACTCCTGCTCTTTCCCCCTGTCCCAATTTTCGATTAGAAGTCTTCAGTGGCGGTGCCATTCTTGAGACAAGCTAGCCGTTTCTGACTTGCCAAATGATTTGTTGTGTTGCTACGCGCCAGAAGGCGATGAGCAGGATTTGATCGTCGATATTTCGCAACCTGCTTCAGTTCCCCCCCCCC